CTCTTCCTTAATTTAAACATCCCAAAGCAGTAAGAAATGACCTGAAGGATTCAGGGAGGGAGAAGGGGGAAATCCTAGATCCCAAGGCATTACTGGAATGTCTGCTATTCACTTCTAAACACAAAGAAATTCTTTTCAGTTCTTCACTGAAGCTATTCCTCTCTCAATGATTGCAAAAAGCAAATGGAAAAAGTATGTGAAAGGTGATGTTTCTGTGACAAAAGAGATCATAGTGAAAATTCAAGAATACTTTAATGTCTAGCCAGATTTCAAGATAATAGAGAAAGGAATTTCTTTTTCTGCTGGATGCAGGGCGTTTACAGCTTGGCTTTCTGGGGCTGAGGTCTTGGTTATGTTTTCTGTTCAGTCTTTTTCTTTTTTTTCATTTAATTGCTAAGCTCTGGTCCCTTACTTTCATACTCAGAATATACAATTATTTTTTGCCTACTAAATATAGAGAAAAATAATGAAATATTCTGACACACAGTTGAACCAAACTCACAACATATCCATGACAAAATAAAAAAAAAATTACAAAACAACCCTCTTCTATGAATACCAAACTCATTCAATCTTTTCCATTTCCAAAAACAGCTGGAACAGTTTCTTATTATGAATACCTGTGAAGACATCTGAGACATTTCTCCCATTCCTAAACTACTTGCTTGAAAAAGACATCGATCACAGTCTAAGGTTTATCTGAGCACTGAGCTGGTCTCCTGAGACAGTATGCTAGATTTGTATTCAGATCACAAGAATGGAACAAAATATCAGTCAGATACAATTTCAAGCACAAGTTTTATAGCCAAGAATATCCAATTTTATCAATTTCCTGTACATAGAAACATTGCTAGACTTCCTGGAGGAAAAAAGTTCTTTTTATGAATGACTGGCATTTTTCACAACAGTCTTCCTGTTAAGCATTCTGGCACTGTTAGTATGAAATCAGGGGTCCACCAGGATTCTCAGAGAATTTACAGAATGGGAACCCTGTCTGTAGTTTTTTGGAGTAGTTACTTTTAGGATTACAAGCAACCAGATCACACCTTAAAAGAAATACACTGGTCTGTTCTCTCAAGGCTAAGATAAGATCCCTGACACAAGTTTCCATAGATGAACATTATGTACCTGAACAATAAAGCTTTAATTGGCACCAATCCATGTACATCAGATGACACTGAGAAAGACCATAAGTACTTGATTGAAAACAGTCTCTATTGGTTTCTAAGGTTAACAATGCTACTGCAATTAAGTCTGAATTTAAAAGTACTATGAGGAACCAGTGCTAGTTTACCTTTCTTGTGCTATTCAAACAGAGATGAATGTAACAGGACTAGAAGTGCTGCACTGTAGTGCATGAAGAGCTACTGACCAGGTTGCAATGGCACATGTGCAGTATAGTCACAGCTATGAAAAGGGACATAATCTCAGCTCCCTCAGAGACAATCCAAGTCTTTAGGGGGACTCTGAACTCTGAAACAGTTTTTTTCCTTGGGAAACAAGCACTGAAAATATATCTTTTCAAATACATCCTCACCCTTACAGAGCTAAGCAAACATGCTGTCAGGCTGTACAACAGACAACCTAGTTCACAGCATACAGGCACCAACACGTCTAGAAAACACCAACCCCTTTGGTCAGTGCCTCAGTTTCTATCCTGTGGGGAGGTTGTAGAGTTCCGGTGAGGTAGATCTGCACTGCCCTGAAATGGATCTGAATCTTTTTTCCTTTCCAGAGCTAGACTGTACTCAAATGATGGGCACATCTCTGTATCCCATCCCACTGACAGCACCCCTCATGAGTGCATTGCTCTGTTTTGTACAATCTGGTGTTAAGCATCTCGAGAGAGATCCCTTCAGCTCCATGGAGAGTTACATCACAGCTTAGCATGCTTGCTGGAAATCTCTTTCCTCAAACTTCCCGTTATTAATTTCAAACAATCCATATTCACAATAATGTATTTGTACTTTTCACTGTACTTTGTTTTTTGTTCCCTGAATTCACAAGGCATTAACTCCGTTTTGTTCTCTTTGTTTTTAACAATTGTTTTAATAGCCTGTCCACACCAACTTCCTTCTACTATTCAAAGTCAAATACAACTTCCACACTCATTTGTGAAAGAAAAAATAAAAAATGGCACTTCAGAGAACAATTTAAATTGTATTCCTAAGGCATACTTACAAAAATTTTACACCAGAATGTTAAGTAAAGATTGCCAACATTAATGCCACAATGACCATTAGAAGTGACTAAAACTGAACAACAGATATTTCATCTGTACATCTTACAAGACCTATCCTTAAGGTTAGATAGTTTGTTTGAAGGGTTATAGCATATTTGTTTCCATTCACTGGCAATTTCTCAACTGTTAAATAAAAAGGCATCTTCTGTGTGGCACTCAGTATGTTCTCAAAAGAAAATCTAAACAGTGTACCCACTTTTACCAGCATCACAGGAACACAGTAAAAGTGTAAATGTGTTCAAGCTCTCTAAGTTTACTACATCCTTCTTAGACACACAAATAAAGACACTGGAACAACCACAGAATCATGAAACTAGAGCAAAACTGCTCTTTAGAAGTATCTCATCTTTATTTTTTCCACCATCTTCTCTGTCCTTAATGTGGCATGTTACTGGAAGTGCTTCAATTCAAAAAAAATCTTGTTATCCTGCCCTAACAGCTGCACACTCAGACCAGGAAAGCTACAAACAGGGCACACCAAGGAGAAGTTTATGAACTCCTGATGGCAATCAGGGCCATTGCTTAGGCAAGCAAGCCCCAGTTTTCTGCCAGGTTCCCTGCAGCCTCTGATACACGGCCTCTGATACACAGCTGTTTTTCAGCTATTGAGCATTTTTTAAAATGTCACTGTCAACAAGATTACAAATCATTGCAAATCTCAACTAGATTACAAAAGTTTGGTACTGCCCCCAGATTTTTAGTTTTCAATGTGCATCAGACCGCTTTGTCAACTCACACTGTAAGCAGGATAGATGGGTCAGGAGGGATCATGAGTCCTGACAGCTCAGTAAGGAAATGCTGGCAATACACACCAAGCAATCAGCTAAAGATTTTTAACCTCTCTCAATAACTGCTCACTGCAGTGCTGGTCTGGGACCCTGAAGGTTTCAATGAATAGTCTTGGATGATAACTATTGAGGCATTTTTTGAGGCTTTTGGCACGAGCTGCATTCATGCTGCCCAGTTTCAAATTCTTTTAGAAAGAGGGAGGGTCAGTACTGCAGTATAAGTGAACTCAGACCATAGTCAGAGTTCATATTGTAATGAAGATCATATTTCCCTGAAAAGATATCTCATATGCTTGTCCTAGTTGTAATCTTCCTATCAGGAGAGATTTTATTTCTCAGGAAAACAGAACTGTCATTTGCAATGATTTGCTTTACAGATAATAGAGCAGCCTTAACAGCACTCTCAGGAGAAATCTGCCTTATAAAGAGACATAGGTCAACATGTAAGCATGAGTATCACAGAATTAGTGAGGACACAGAATATCCATATACATCATTAATTAGTGCAGAGTTCATGTATCATAAATCTTTCCAATTTCAAACCTTGAAGCTGGATATATGAGTACTGCATGGACTTCATATTAGTGACTAATTATATTAATGAAAAGGAAGTATTGTCTAATGACAAAGGTAAACCTACACTGCCTAATCACAAAAAAAGGCCATAGCGTGACGTAAAGTTATGTAAGTAGTTTAAAGTTAGTGCTACAGCAGCCTGGAAATTGACAAATGTTGTTTTGCTAAGCAGCATTTCCATCACTGCATCTCAGGTGTATGACATTGAAGCCACAAAGTCCAAGACTCCTACAGAGAGACCAATAGCAGTAGCAGTTGTAGCAGACATTACTAGCACACTTCCATGCTTCGTTTATAGAAAGGGAAATACCACAAAACAAGTAACAGGGAAGTTTCAGGAGTTTTTACAGCTACCAAAATCAAGAATCTGCTGGGAAATCTGAAGGTACTTATCTCTGTCCCCACTGAAGACAGTGGTGAACTTAGCAGTGACTTCTTTTACTTGTGCACTCTGAAGAAATCACTCTGGCACCTGTTCTACATTAGGAATGCCTACAATGACAGCTACAATACCAGATGTGTAGTACTGTAGCTATAGTTTACCAACTATTTGCAAGTCACACACCAAATAGTACAAAAATGTTTAGTTAGAAATTAAGTTTTCCACTCATCTCTGCTTGCACTGGATAGCCTAACTGCACTTCATATATTCAAACAAATGCCAAATACCGAGAATATCAAAGACTCTTGGCTGGATATTATCAGAAGTAGAAAATCAATTTGAGTTCAGCTTCTGCTCGCTGGATTTTTCCATTTGCTAGCCACAGAAAATCTAATGCAATCTAATGCTATTATCCTTATTTGCCAAAAGTGAGATCACTGGGAGATTATTAAGAGAATTTGACCAGATTGTGGTGTTTTCTCACTTTTCTTAATGATGTAATGTTTGATCCAAAATCAGCAAAAGATTTTAACAGGGTTAGTTAAAAAATGAGGTTAAATGAGATTCATCTTTGAAGGACATACAGTTATTCATACACAGCTATTATATAATCTTAAACTTTTTTAAAATTAAAGGTCAACATGGAAATAACATTTTTAAAATTTCCTTCCAAAAATTTAAAGTTTGTTCACATGTAACACAATTACTTAAAAACAAACTTTAGCTGCAATTTCATTGAGCTTAAAATACCTGTACTGATTATCAATTTTTATTCCCAAATAATTAAAAAACATTTTAGTGCCCAAAGAGGATCACATTACAAAACTAAAAAAGCTAAACATTGAACTGAAAAGCACAGTAAAAGATTACATAGCAAAAAATTTGCATAGCAAAGATTCCAGAAGATCTACAAAAAGGTATAACAAATACTTTCACCAAATAGGCATTACAATAAAAAGTACAAATAGAAACAGGAACAAACTCTTATTCTCTTTCCAGTGTAGCTACTTACTGTAGAAACCCAAATCTATCTGTAACTTTGTACAGGCGATAGTCAGCATCTTCCCATGGTTCAATCTGTGCACCATCTCGTCCCTATCAGGAAGGCAAAAAAAACCAAGAGAGCCAAATTAAGATTCAAATTCAGTTGTATGATACAATAAACTGAGACACAGACAGACAGGATTGAGCCATAATCTTTGGTACACTTTGGTAGTAAGCTAGAGTAGTAGGAGAAGAACACCAGTACTAAACTGACCACCCCAAAACAGCAAAGTAGCACAGCTCTATCAGCTGCTGGGACTGGTATTTTCATCACAGGAAACCTCTTTCTGCCACTGCTGCATGCATTCATTCCCATTCCTTTCTCCTGCTCCTATTGAAATACACACTCTTCTGATACAAACTACAGACAGATTGCTGAGTGTGAAGAGAGGCCTCTGCTCAGAATAAAAGTCACGTACACAGTGTTTCCATATAAAAAAAATAAAGCTACTCTAAGTGCTCACTGTGCAGGATATTCCACTAAGTCTGGCATTAAAATCTTTCATCCATTCTACAAAGAAGTCTATGGCACAGTTCTCCAAGGACACTTATAAAACTCACAAGCATTACTAGAATACATGAACATGGTTCAGGTATTCCAGACATGTGGTGCACCAGGCTTTTATATGACAAGTAGTTTGAGAAAAAGATAATACCTAGGATATTTCTTTAATTCCTTATAACAATCTGACAAACAAAGCAGTTTACTTATCTATTAAGTTTTCTGTAATGACGTGTTTCTATTACCATAAAAAGAATTAAAGAGAATGGTAAGAGTTCCTCTGATCCTATAGATTTTATTGAGAACTATTGCTGATAGGTGAATGGTTGGACTGGATGATGTTGTAGGTCTTTTCCAGCCTTGGTGTTTCTGTGATTATGTGATATGCACTCAGCATTCTCAAACACAATGCTTTCATTACATCTAAATACATTACAGTACCTTAACGCAGCCCCACTGCAACTTGCCATGCACCTGAAAAATGAGTTGATTATCCAGAATATCCCTGTGGAGGGAGAATTTAACCCACCCACAGGCCAGAGCATCCCAAAATCACTAGATTAGTAGTACAGAGGGTATTTTAACAAAATAAACAGAAGCTAGTGGGAAACTATGATTCATTTTGAAAACAGAAATATTACTAAAGTTAATTATAAAATGACTTTAAATTATTATTAAATTCACTTACTCTGTCATACTTGGCAACTATCTCTGCTCGTTCTTGGGCAAGTTTGACAGCAGCATCCTGCTCGGCATCTGCGCCTGTGGAGGATTATAATAAAGCTGTTCAGATTCTCTCCCTTGTGAGCAAAAAACTGCAGTAAAGTACTTAGAAAATAATCTTGACTTCAGAGTAATTATTTGTATGGAGAAATGCCAAAACAATTGTATCAAAACAAAATATGATCGTGGTACACCTCCTGAATACTGATCAGAATAAAATAGAATTACTGGACAATAACTAACTCTGAGTTCAGAATGTTCCCCCTTTCCACTAAAAAAGCAATTCAATAAATTTATTTTAAAAAGGAAAAAAACTCTCTAACTGAAAGACTGAAGACAGTAGTAAAAACTCCTAGTTGACAATTCCAGAAGCATTTATCTAGTTGAAGAAAACCCAAACATACACTACTGTTTTAAATCCAATGTTGTAAATATCTTCAGGATTCATACAGGAGGATGAGAAAACCATGAATGCTCAAGAAATACTGCATGACTTTATCTTAGAAACTGCCTAAGACTTATTTCTTAGAAAACAGGAAAAGAGATCACTATAGGATCACACCTGCAACATGTGCAGCCCAGAGAGAGAATAAGTATATGACAATGGGAAGGCTGGTAATCAAGAAAATAAAGAGATGTTTAGGTAAGTACTGGACATCAGTACAACACAAGTACAGCAGAGGTTACTGCAATGGTGGAGTTAAAGTTTAGAGAAATCTGATATGATTGAGGAAACATGAAACAGGCTGCAAGTATAACTGAATTATGTTCCTTAGCATTCTTCCTTTAGCAGAAACAATCTCTCAATCACAGATTAGAATGCAAAGAGTACCACAAGTGGTAAAGTAATTAAGATCATGGAATCATAGAATGACCTGGGTTGAAAAGGACCACAATGATCATCTAGTTTTAACCCCCCTGCTATATGCAGGATTGCCAACCACCAGACCAGGCTGCCCAGAGCCACATCCAACCTGGCCTTGAATGCCCCCAGGGATGGGGCATCCACAACCTCCTGTTCCAGTGCTTCATTCATCACTCTCTGTGTGAAAAACCTAAACCTCCCCTGTCTCCATTTAAGACCCTTCCCCCTTGTCCTATCACTACCACCCTCATAAACAGCCATTCCCCCTCCTGTTTATACACTCCCTTCAAGTACTGGAAGGACACGATGAGGTCTCCCTGGAGCCTTCTCCCAGCTAAACAAGCCCAGTTCCCTCAACCTTTCCTCACAGGAGAGGTGCACCAGCCCTCTTAGTGCCCTCCTCTGGACCTGCTCCAAGAGCTCCACATCTTTCCTGTGCTGGGGACCCCAGGCCTGGATGCAGTGCTGCAGATGGGATCTCATGAGAGCTGAGTAGAGGGGGACACCTCTGCTGGCCACCCCTTTTTTAATGCAGCCCAAAACACAGTTGGCCACTGGGCAGGAACATACTGCACTTCAATCACCTCAATATTCCAAATTTTAAGGGTCAAAACTGGACATCACATGAATGAGTCATGTAAAAGACATGAGTCTGTAAAAGATTATTTTTTTTTAGCATATGGCATTAGCACACTTACTTGTTCAAAGGGGTATTTCTTTATTAAAGTTCACCTACTATATTTAAGTTGCTCCTAAGCGACCTTCAAAGCTGCCTGCTAGTGAAGTGACTGAGCACGTTCTCTACGTGTTTCCCCTTGAAGTTTCTTTAGGGGAATGCAGACAGAACTGCAGCATGCCCCCATCACTGACACAGGCCCCAGTGCATGGGCAGCAATGATGCTTGTCCCAAATTTCCCTTAACGAGAAGTCTGACTGCTTCTTTAAGTACCGGAAATCATGCATAAATGCTCTATGCTTTGCTTTCCTCATTCTGGCTCCCCTCTGTCTGTCACTATCATTTCCCAATCATACTGCTCTCATTTATTAGTGAGGACATCTGGCTTTGTCATTTTTTCCCAAAGTACACGAGAACCAGCATGTATTTATTTATGTAATCATTTAAAATTTAAGAACCACATCTGCTACATTGTGAAGCTATGCATCTCTATGCCACATCACTGATAAATAATTTCCTCCCTGTAAGGCGATAAGTGAGTTGCTTCATTTCATGTTGTCAGCCTGTAGTGCTGTCTGAGCACAGTGATGTTGCTCCTCACGGTGCTGGATCCACCTTCATTCATTCCCAAGCTTAAAGAGGAGAGCAAGAGATGAAGCAGTCTGGTTTCATGCTTGCTTTTTTCTGACAATTCTATAATTACCATGGGCCGTTACCCCAGCTAGCTATGTAACAGCCAACAAAAATCCCCTTCTAGAATGTCCTCCCCAGCAACATCACCACCCAAGGACAAAAACTGAACTCCATGCTACCCAGAGCACAATTAAGAACTATACATTCCCAATACAATTACACCAAACCATTTGTTAATGCTTTTCTAGTTGACACACTTTGCTTACCAAACTGCCAATGCCCACAATTAAGCCACTAATCCACACTGACAAAGTAGTACATGAAGCCAGGCTTTATTTTCAAAGAAGGAAGCTAAAGGAATCATAATCAAAACTGAATTGTATTTTCCTTTGTAAGACACAAACAGATGTCTGCTTACATTAATTCCTTAGAGAAGACCAATTATGAGTTTTCAAAAGTAAATTTATACTTGCAGAGAGAATTCCAAAGTTGAGCCGTCCTAATCCTTACTTCTTGTTATGGTTTTATGGACAGATTTGGGGAAAGCCTATTTGTTTAAAGAACAATTACTGCTTGGCCTTGAGAAATGGGGAAATACTTCTATCACTCTTTTCCCAGTAAAAGAGAGATAAGATCTGATTTGAATAGGAGAGTAGCAAAATAAGTAGCTATGGCCATGGTATTTTTTCATTAACAGAATGCAACCAAGTGACTATTGCTTGCATTCAAAAATATTCTCAAAAGGAGATGCAGAGCTCTTCCACAACACAAACGGATTAAACAACAGAAGTTGAAACCAAGATTAAATATATGATTAAAATAATGCAAAACTGTATTTCTGCCAGAAGCAGGGTCCAGATTTATGCTGAACATATCTCTGTGGCTTACCTTCCTGTTCTCCACACAAGTAACACACATCGATGTTTGACATGTTCAGTGCCTCATGACAATTCAATTACATTTAGTGTGGAAATTACCATATTCATTGCCTTTAAAGTAATCCTCTTCACTTTCTGCCAGAAACATCTTAATCTTCTAGCTGCTCAGACATACTCTAACATTACATTAATCCACTCAGAACTCGGAGAACAGCTTGAAACAGGGACAAGAGGTTATATTTCAAGAAATAAACAGATCATATTTTTTCTTGCAAGAATTATTTAAATATCTTCAAGTTAGAAATTACAGAATGATTCCTGATTAAGTAAAAGCTAAATATGGGAACAAATTCTGCACAAATATCCTCTTGGCAGAAAAATACGTAGAATCTTGGAACGGTTCAGGTTGGAAGGGACATTAAAGCCTTACTTCAATGTAACCAGTTAAAGTGGTGAAACTAGTTTGGTTACCTTTCCTAGTTAAAATTAGCATTATAGCTGATCAACAGCACATGATATAGCAAAGAATATCGCCTCAGGTGAGGTTGATATGAGCATATGATCGGTAAAGAAGCACAGAAAACTGATTTTGACTAAAAACTGAGGAAATGTCAGCAACTGAAAACACAGTATAATCAATGCTGATAGAAACTGCCAATGACAGCACAATAATCAGAGCATGCAATTTCCTAATACAACTGGTCAGCATAACAGGGTACAGTGAGTGTGATGCTAGCAGCAGTGTCATGCATTTCGCATGCAAAAGAGGTAAATGAGAGAAAGAAAGGCCAGAACAAAGCACTCTGGACAGCTGGCTTGACATGTAGCTTTCCCCATCAGACTGTTTTCTCCTCATCACTCTGTCACACTGATCTGTTTCCTATATTTTACAAATATTACAAGTTTATACATTTGGAAAGGCAGCACACAAAGCACTTGAAGCATTGTTAAAGGCAGAAATTTGAACAGAAAATTCCAGCCTGTGACAATCTTAAAAAGGACCAACCTAACAGCCAGGATTTTACCCTTTGTCTTCTTGGAAATCAAGCGATTTGACTTTTCAGCACTGCTGGGATGACCAGCAAACAGCTGAATTAAAGGATACTTGAGTTTGGGGTAAGATTTGGTTTCATTTTGCCATTCACTAATTTTAAATTCATAATATAATTCATAATATCAGGTCTGATAAATTAGACATCTGTGCACTGTCATCAGCCCCATAAAGTGAGAAAACAGCCAGCACTACTCACAAGCTTTGCTCCACTCTAATAAGAGCATCTCCTTACCTCTCCAATTGTTTAAGAATCAAAAACAACAATCTCTCTGGCAACAGAAAGATGTGATGGTATGTAAAAAATGTAAGTGGCAAAGGCAAAAAAACAAAGGAAATTAGTCATCTGGAGATGGCAGCATTACTTAGAAGCAACAAATTTACAGATGAATTACGGATGTTAGCCTGCTATTCACTATTAGGTGGTGAGCATCACAGTCACATTGAAAATAAAACCCCACATTTTCAGACGTTCTTCAGAATTTCAAAACTCTTGTTCAGCTCAGTCTACTGGGACAAGAACTGAAAAATATCACATTAAATTAAAATAAACTCTTAAGTTGGCAATAACCAGGCTTCTTACACAACCTTTTATTACAAATTAACTGGAAACAGCCTAATCTATTAATCAGCTACAATTCTAAGCATCCCATGCAGAAGTGTTTACTTTTCCTGAATTCCACATTCTTCCAATTTTAAGGAAGAAAGTCAAGTATCTTAAACTTACAGGAAAATGAACTAATAATAAGATGTAAAATGCAAGGTAAAAACCATAATATCCTGCAACGAACTCAAGACTAATTGGAATTGACTGAGTGTCATAGTGAATTAATAGCAAAACATTACATCAAATTCAAAACAAACATTACTTAAAGGAAAATAATTACATACTCTACAAATGGATGTAAAAATGAAACTCTTAACTAAGAGTTTCTCAAGGACAAATTTATAACAACAACAAAACAGATACTAACAAAGTCACATTTTGACAGCTATTAAACAACTGATATATAATCCTGGCTTACTCTCACCTTCATGCTACACATTCCCTTTATTTCCACAGAGAGAAATGTTAGTTGCCAGATGTAAGCAAACTACAGACAGTGCAGAGCCTTAGAGCTGAGCTCCCTGTGTTTGCTCAGCCCAGAGCAGAGGAGCTGAGGGAGGCCTGATGGCAGCTGCAGCTCCTCACAGGGAGCGGAGGGCAGCGCTGAGCTCTGCTCTCCATGACAGTAGGAGGACTTGAGGAACTTCAGGAAGCATTTGGACGATGCTCTCAGACATAGGTGGCTCTTTGTGGAACCATCTATAAGCCACTGAGCCGAACTTACTGTGAATGAAGTTTGTGTGGCTCTACCTCACTAGTTAGGCTTCTCCTTCAGTCTAAAAATGCACTGTTATATAAAAGGAAAGGTAAAAACCACCGAGCACAGCTTCTTCATGAAGGCAGCACAACGTGAGTACCACAGAGAGCTTCGCACATCTCAAAGGAATGGGGAGGTAAGAAGGTATGTTACAGTGCTTATACATCAGCAGCATAAGTTACAGATGTACCATAAACTTAAGTAATTCTTGTTGTGGGGATGAGGGTTACTATACTGCTATTGCCCTGTGCAACCTTATCCCTTATTCTGAAAAGGAGATTTCTCCCTGCTCTGTTATCTGACCCACCCCCATTGCCTCCTCAACTGCAGAGCAATCTAAAACCCCCAAAGACTCGGAACACAATCATTTGTTTTCCATTGCTTCACTCAAATTCTTGCTTGTTTGCACACTGCACATTCCACTGCACAAAGAGCTGCACTGGCACAAATTCCTGTCTGCAGGCACTACCAACAGCTGCTGTGCATCTACACATTCAGGGCACATAACAGAGCAACAAGCAAAAGTTTTGGTTTAAGTCTGTGGTCATATCAGAAAGTCCCTTTCATACCAATGCTGTTTATTTTCCTTCGAGTCCTTTCTCACAAACAATGAAGGAAAAGCCATGACCCATGACGTACGCTTAATAGTATTTTGTTGTGGGTAGACAGCATTTAAAAAGAAGAAAAACATGGTAAATATCTACACACAGATATCAGATATTCTACTTTACAGGAAACAAAATAAACATTTATTATACTTTATTTCTCTTCTCATGCATGTTATTTTTAGGAAGTGAAAAAAGAGTTGAATAGTTAGAAAATGCTATGCCTTTTACATAGCAATAGTTTCTCAGGAAGAAAATACCACCAGTAATTAAGCGAGTTACATTTCTTCCACCATTAAGCATAACCACATAACTTAATCATACTGGGTATTTAAAACTCAAAGTTGTCACTATACCGAAATTAAAGAGAAGGAAATTAGTACACAGTACCTTCAAAAAGTTAACAAAGTTCAGTACATAAAGTAAAATGATATTTTACCATTCTGCAGATTGAGGTTTTCTGCCCAGTCCTTGTAAAACTCACTTTTAGTCCTCATGAAGTAAAAGTATGATCTAGATCATACTCCAAACCACTGCATCCAAAAGTAAAAGGGGAAAGTTCTCCTCCTCCGCTCGCAGCAATTGCTCCATGTAACCGAGCTATTTGGCACTGCCTCACTCTTTTTCAAGGCATGGCCCCTCTACAGCTTCACGAACTGCAGATACTCAAACAAAGATGCCATTTGTTAGCAAGAAGTGTCATGCAGGCAACATAGCAGTGGTATCCATTGCAGCCTACAGCCCAGCTAATAATAAACAAGAGGATTTGAACAAACAGCCTCACAGGACGCTGCTCCTGTAACACATCACTGTTATGGTCTGGGGTAAGAATTCTTACTGGTATTTGCCAAGAGCTGCATGAAAAGCATCTCATTTAAAGAACTTACTAGAAATGGGGCTTTAAGTGTCTGCTTCTGGCTTAGTACTTAAGATACCATGAAATGAAACCTTGTAAAAATACAGTTTATATTTCTGTAACTGTTTAGTATTTCTTGGTTACAGGATGGAAAATACTTTTTTTATTATTATTATTTAGACCTGCTTTATTGTTAGGGATAAGTTGGGGACTTGAAATACTTAGGATGTTAGAAGGTGATAAGAATGTTTTCCTGGATCAAAACAGTACAAATCTAAGATTTCATATTGCTAGAATTCATCTACTTTCTGTACAGCAGTCAGCACTCCCAACACTTGAAAAACAAACCTCCATAACAGATATGCAAGGGCACACATACCAAGCTGTTCTCCTGTAAAGTTTTTAGGCCTCACACAAGGGTTCTTCTCAAGCAAAATGCTACCTGCTATGCAATGGTTCAGCCAAGAACCAGCCCACAACTACCTATTTAACTTCTTAACCAGTTAGAAGCACGCACTGTGCCAAACCTGGCTTGAAAGATGTGTGGTCTTCTGATTGCTGCAAATCTGACACTCACTGGCTCTCTTTAGCCTAGAGAAGGCCTGAGGGAAACTTATCAATGTACATAAGATACCTGAAGGGAGGCTGCAAACATGATGGAGCCAGGCTCTTTCCAGTATCAACCAGTGCCAGGACAAGAGGCAGCGGGCAAAAACTGGAACACAAGAGGTTCCTTGTAACATCAGGAAGCATTTCTGTGCTTCCAGGTGCCAGAGCATTGGCACAGGTTGCCCAAAGAGGCTTTAGAGTCTCCTCTTTGGAGATCTTCAGGAGACGCCTTGACATGGTGCTGGGCACTCAGCTGTGGGTGTCCCTGCCTGCTTGGGCCAGATGGACCCAGAGGTCCTTGCCAACCTCAACTTGTGACTCTGATTTCCTTGCACCCTGGAAAGCATTAAAATGCCAGGAACAAAAGATCTGATCAAGTACATAGAACTACTCTCTTTTTTTTTTTCTTTCCCCAGGGAATTTTTTAAAAATAATAATTCCTTCAATTGTATTAATCTTCCTCCTTATGTTGCCTCACTGAGCGCCTGGAAAATGAGCAACAGCTCCTTTATCTTTTATCATCAGTTACTAATTACAGATCCTACCCAAACATAAGTGTCAATAATTTAGTCTGCCGATGTAGTGCGAGTTTAGACTAAGCCCATACAATATCAGTCTCTAAGATATTTCTCCTAAAGGTGACATTCTTACTGCTGGCATTATTACAGACAATAGTAAGCTTGCTATACAAAAATCGTCTTCCATTTTTCTCACCACAGAACTACTGAACTGGTTCCATAAAACCGAAGACTTATTTCCAGATCTTAGCACAGAATCACAGAATCACAGAATTGCCAGGGTTGGAAGGGACCTCAAGGATCATGAATCTCCAACCCCCCTGCCACACACAGGGCTACCAACCATTCCACCTAATGCTAGACCAGACTGCCCAGGGCCCCATCCAATCTGGCTTTGAACACCTCCAGGGACGGGGCATCCACAACCTCCCTGGGCAGCCTGTTCCAGTACCTCACCACTCTCTCCGTAAAGAATTTCCCCCTGACATCCAACCTAAATCTCCCTTCCCTCAACTTAAAACCATTTCCCCTTGTCCTGCTGTCACTCACCCTTTCAAAGAGTTGATTTCCCTCCTGTTTGTAGGCTCCCTTTAGGTACTGAAAGGCTGCAATGAGGTCACCCCACAGCGTTCTTTTCTCCAGGCTGAACAAGCCCAGCTCTTTCAGCCTGTCCTCATAGGGGAGGTGCTCCAGTCCCCTGATCATCTTCGTGGCTCTCCTCTGGACCCTCTCCAACAGCTCCCTGTCTTTCTTGTACTGGGGGCTCCAGACCTGGACGCAGTACTGCAGATGGGGCCTCACAAGGGCAGAGTACAGAGGGACAATTACCTCCCTGTCCCTGCTGGCCACCCCTCTTCTGATGGAGCCCAGGATACCATTTGCTTTCTGAGCTGCAAGGGCACACAGCTGCCTCACGTTAGGCTTTTCATCAATCAAGACCCCCAGGTCCTTCTCCACAGGGCTGCTCTCAAGGACCACTCCTTCCAGTCTGTGGGGATGCCTGGGATTCCTCCGGCCCAAGTGCAAAACTCTGCACTTTGCCGTGTTGAACCTCATCAGGTTCACCTGGGCCCACCTTTCTAGCCTCTAGAGGTCCCTCTGAATGGCATCCCGTCCTTCAACCGTGTCAACTGCACCACTCAGCTTGGTGTCGTCAG